TGGGTTTTAATGAGCATTAAAACAGCCTAAGTGCTTATTAGAGATGCAAATTCCTGGGCTCCACTCTCAAGAGATCTGAATTAAGCTTCTGGGTCCAAAATCCATTATGCGTGGTCTGTGGACCACACATTAAGAACAAGTAATTCAAATCAACATGTAGGATTATAATTTCTTATACTATGTCTTTATATGTGTGGTTCATTCTGGAATATTCTCTTTCCTCTATCACATCCCACCCTCTTTCCACATTTTTCTGGGAAGACTAGATTGCCCACCAGTATCTACGTCAAACTTTTAATCTACTTAACTCTTATTTCTTGTTAATATATCTCAATTTTGAACTTAACTATTCTCCAGTTTAACCACACTCCTCGCAGTGTGATGGGTGCTGGAGTTAAACAAGGCATGGATCTGGATTTTCAGAGGCATGTAATCTTGCAAGGGTGACTTTTTTATGAGAGCTATTTTTGCATTCCTGGCCAGACAGTAGGCTCTCCCAGGGCAGGGGTTGTATTTCTTTTGAGTTTGCCACAACTGCCGTCCCGTACGGGCACTGGGGAGGTGAGGAGGTGGTCAGGAATTATTGATGGGTAGAAACAGGTTTGGGTCTTGATTGGAGTTGGTTGGATCGGGGAAGCTCATCCTTCCTTCTCAATGCTTTCTCCCACAGTAGTCCTACCAAGAAGCACCTTCCGTGACAGTTGCTGTTATGCCCGCCGTTTACAGCTTCATCTCCCCAACCTCGGCTTGCTCTTGCTGCATTTGCGTGTACCTGCTGGTTTGGCTGCACCAGCCAACTTATCCAAGGGCCCGGGCAGCCAGCCAGTGTTCCCAAGCCCTTCCATGCATTGTATCTGACTTCCTCTTTGGTAAGAGCCCGTGTGATTTTCATGCTTTGGAGGATTTGGGCCCTTGTGAAATCTCTTCTGGGGAATTAGCCACCCTGAATTCCACGCTTTGTTTCTGCCCTCAGTGCTGGCAGGAGCCTACATTGTTTCATTCCCACGTCGTCACGCTCCTTGGGACGACGCGATGGTTCAGCTCAAGTTCATTTGGTATTCCCCTCTGAAATGTCACTGAGTTTTCCCACTGTTTGTACTGAATTAAGTAATGACAATCAAGGGAGTCATTAGTATGCTGGAAGCATGAGCATTGTGGTCTGCGCAGCAGAGAGGGGCCTCTCGTGGGCACCAGCTTCTGTTCCTGCCGATGGCTGCCGTTTTAGTGCTAGTGCCTTGGCAAATTGCAGAGTCAGAGAGAGAGAGACATTGGTCAAAGGAGGGGAGATTTTAATGTTTTCCTATGGAAGCAGCTTAGCTAGAGCATTTCCTTCCTCACTGGATTGCCTTCTGGGTGGACTTGAAACTGAATGAGGACATGCTGCTTCTTGCCACTGGCAGGTTGAGAAAGATGCTTCTTTCTTTGTGGGCCACTTACCTGTTTCTGATTCTGCTAAAGTGAACTTAGTCAGAAGAGCTACTATGGTGTGTCAGACATTGTGCTAAGCATGCTAATTATTAAGCTATTAATATGCTAATTGTTTCTACAGTCCTGCAGAATAGATGTTATTACCCAAGGATATAGGGATAGTAAGATAAGGAATCTGTCCAAGATCCTATAGCTGGTAAGTGGCAGAGCTGGAATCAAACCTAGATCTGCCCCTTTCTGCCACCTCTTGATTCCTCTGTTTCATGTTGCCTCTTTATGCACATTTGCTAAGGCTTATTGACCCCCGAGCACTTCTAACAGCTCTGTAGACTGTCTAGTGCAATGGTTTGAGGTCTTTGAAGAGCCAGCAGTTCAATTCACACTGCTACTTCATCTTCCCTGGGGACCAAGGTGGAGTCACACATCACAGTGGAAAAGGTCTCCTCAGAAAGTTGAAGTCGATTTCACCCACCGCAGCCTGCTAATGCTGTGGTCAGGATCCTCGAAATTCCTGCCGAAATGCGTCTTGGGAAATCAGAGACCTATGCTTCAGGTGAATGCTGTTTTACTTGCTAGGGTTAACTGCTCTCAGATTCTCTCTGGACATACCTTCCTGTTTTTAATGACCCTCCCCAGCAATCAGAAAAGCCAGGGTGTGTAGTTATCACGGAAACACATCAGGACCCATTCTTTGGTAACAGAGACCATGTGTTTTGGGACTTTTCTGTTTGGAGTCAGTTTATCATCACTATAAAAAACATTTCAGATGAGGACGGAGTGAGTGGAAACCCTGGGGAAATGTACAGGGAGCTTTAGATGTGGACGGCTGAACGCCTGGCCTGGGTTTAGTCACTCAGAAGGTTTGAAGCGAAGCAATAATGCTAGAATTTAATCTCTCACAGACGTCTTGGCCATCTCCCTGAGCATTTCCACCTGCTTCGCCGCTGGGCGCCATGGCTGCTGTCCTAATAAATAAAACGTGTGTGTTCTGTGCTCAACACGCCAGTTTAGTCAGGAGAGAACTGGGTTCCATATATAGTCAGCTTAGTGGCCTCTCGTTTTCTTTTTTTTTTTAAGTCTTTAAAATTTAAGATGAAAAATGGGATAATTACTAATGAGTAATTACTTTATATAGTCCATGTTTATATTATTTGGAAAATGTTATTCCTATTTTAGAATAATGGGCTCAGCCTCTTCTTGTGTGGGAGACATTCTGCCCTGGAGGAAGGTTAAATCTTCTGCCCTGTTTTCGCCAGTTTCCTGGTGACACTGGGAAGGAAGTGAGCATTTTAGGTTCCAAGTCCTGGCCAAATGGTAGTGGCTGGAAGGAAGGTCTTCTCTCCACAGGACAGCCATCTGCAAGGAACAGACAAACGCTCTTCCCCCAGAATGATGAGACCACTAAGTTTTAGACATAGAATTGGACGTTCATGGTACAAATTAAAACCAAACCAAGAGAAGGCTCTGGGCCTAGCCACGCTGTTAGAATCGTGCATCTCTTGCATCCTGCCATACCAGAATCTTCTGGTTTTCTCTGACATATATCACTGAATATTTCTTCTTAGTTCCTTTAGAAGGCCCCTTTGATAATTAATTGCCTCTTAAATGTCAATGATTCCCAGGCTCATCCCATGTTCTGGAATCTCATTGGGTGGTTTTATTAAAACTCATGGCTTTTTCTACTTAAAAATTAAGGCTTCTCTCCCCTAATCAAATATATATCCTATTATTACTTTTTTTTAAACTGGATGCAAGATCCATATATTGAAGTGTCTGTGGAGTTTGGGATTTGTGGATACCAACTACTATATGTAAAATAGATAAACGAGGACCTACTGTAGAGCACAGGGAACTATATTCAATATCTTGTAATAGTCTGTAATGAAAAAGAATATGAAAAAGAGTGTGTGTATGTATGTGTGTGTGTGTATCTATATATATTTATATAACTGAATCACTATGCTGTACGCCAGAAATTAACACCACGTTGTAAACTGACAGTACTTCAATAGAAAAATTTTCTCTCTGAGAAACTCAGGCTCAGCTTGTCCCAAATTCAGCTCTTTTGCTTCTTTCCTGCCCCTCCCCTGGGTTCTGGTGAAAAGCCCCGCCGGGATTGTTACGCAAGGCTCAGACCTGAGTGTTGTCTTCCCCTCCGCTCACCAGTCTGGAGGGTGACTTCAGCACTTAGCGGCTCCTGTTTCTAAGTGCTTGTCTCCAAGGCCGCTCCTTCACTTCAGGCTCCTACAGAGCCTTCCGGGGATGATGAGCAAACTGTCCTCGTTGCTTCCCTCGTCCATGGTTTCACCACCTCAGCAGGGTGCCGAGGTGATCTTCTCTAAGATGCAAGTGGGATTGATGTATTTTCTCTGTTAAAAGTTCCTCAGCCCCGCCCCCCCACCCTGCCCGTCACATCCAGGGTAAACATCAAACTCCTTAGCTTAGCCCACAAGGCCTCAAAGCTCTGCCTCAAAGCAGACCCCTGTCCTCAGCGCTATTCTGACCAGACCCCGTCTCCAACCACATCCAACTTCTTGTCCTCGACAGAACTCACTGAACTGCTTAGTGTTTATGAGTTTTTGACCACGATGCTTCTTGGGCCTGAAATTCATTAATTATTTGTTAATAATTTATTCAACAAATATTGCTTGAATGTTTATTCTGTACCAGGCACCATTCCCTTTATTGGGGACACAGTGGTGAACATGAACACGACAGACCAAGGCCCTGCTCTAATGAAACACATTCTAGTGGGAGGAGACAGTGGAAGCAGAGAGCCCTGCAAGTTGTGAAGGACAGGGTCACGAGACAGCAAGTACTAAATGTATATGGGAGCCTGTGGGACTTCTTTCCCTCGGGTTCTCTGGGAAGGTCCTCCTGACCAGGGCCGTTTGAACAGAGATCTTTGCTGGGAGGGAGCAGCCATGAGGTCTGGGGAACAGCAGGTGTAAAGGTCCTTTGCATTTTCAAGGGATAAAAGGAGACCAGTGTGGCTGTAGCTCAGAGCTGGGAGAGAGCAGGGGAGAGCAAGAGAGGAGATGCGGATGAAGCAGCAGGCAGGCTCCAGATAGCGCTGGAACTTGCAGACCATGGCACAGAGTCTAGTTTTTATTTTAAACAGGGGAGTGATATGATCAGATTTATATTTTAAAATATTATTCTAAAATAAGAAGTGTTGGCAGGATGTGGAGAAATCGGAAGCCTCACCCTTTGCTGGTGGGAGTGTAAAATGGTGCAGCTGTTGTGGAAAACACTTTGACTGTTTCTCAGTAAGTTACTTCCCAGAGTTACCGTCTGACCCAGTGATCTGTTCCTAGGCATATAACTGAAAAGAGGTGTTTGAACAAAACCTTACACATGGATGTCCATGGCAGCACTATTTAAATAGGCAAAAGGTGGAAACAGCCCAAAAGCCCATCAGTGAATGAATGAATAAACAAAACGTGGAATATTCATAAAACAGAATATTATTCAGCCATAAGAAGGAAGGTAGGACTGGTATGTTCTGCAATAGGGACAAACCTGAGACTGTTAACGCCAAATGAAGGGAGCCAGACACAAAAGGCCATGTTTGTATGATTCCGTTCATTTAAATACTCAGAATAGGCAAGTCCATACAGACCGAAAGCAGGTTAGTTATTGCTGGAGCTGGAGAGTGTGGGAAACAGGAGTGACCACTTAATGGGGGCAGATTTCCTTTCCGGGTGATGAAAAGATTCTGGAACTGATGGTGGTGACGGTTGTACAGCACTGCAAACGCAGTTAATGCCAGTGAACTGCACACTTTCAAGTGGATAAGTTTTATGCTCTGTGTGTTAGCTCGGGCCGCCGTAACAGACTACCACAGACTAGGTGGCTTAAACAGCAGAGGTTAATTCCCTCAGAATCCTGGAGGCTGGGGAATTAAAAATCAAGGTCCCAGCAGGGTTGCCGTCTGGTGCTCTCCCCTTGGGGTGCAGACGGCCACCTTGCTGTGCGCTCACCTGGCCTCTCCTCAGTGCACCTGGAGAGGGTGAGCCGGCTCTCGGTGTTTCCTCCTGCAAGAACGCTAATCCTATCGGATTAGGATCCCAGCCTTATGATCTCGTTTAACCTTAATTACTTCCTTACTCCAAATACTGTCACATTAGGGGTTAGAGTGTCAACATACAAATTCTTGTGGCGGAGGTGGACAGGATTCAGTCCATAGCATTACATGTGTTTTACCACAGTGGAAAAAAAAATTACTCAGGCTACTGTGTGGAGGAGCATGGGTTATAGTGAAAGGACGGAGACGAGTTAAGAAACTAGTATGATTGTCCAAGCGAGAGATGCTGGTGCTGGTTGGGAGGGGCACTTAGTCTTTACCTTTTTACTGTCATGTGGAGAGCTTCTCCCCCACTCTTGGCCTCTCACCCCACCCCTTCCTCTCCCTGGTTCCCAGTTGATTTTTGAAAGCCTTTGGTCCACACGTCTTAGTTGGGTGGAGTTACTCTAAGGGTGGGGGATTCTGTGCCTTTTCTTCCCTCTGCTCTAAAATCGTCAAACTTGTAGAAACTCATAGAAACAGAAACAGGGGCCTGGGTGGAGGAGGAAATGAGGAGCTGCTGTTCAACAGGTGTAAAATTTCAGTTACGCAAGATAAGTAAGTTCTAGAGATCTGCTGTCCAGCACTGTGTCTATAGTTGGCAGGACCGTACCGGACACTTAAACATTTGTTGAGGGGAATAGATCTCATATTAAGTGTTCTTACCACACAAAAAAGTTACCTTGAATCATGGACGGGATTGGATCCATAACTGACGTGTAATCATTCAGCTTACAAAAGATGCTCAGCGAGGCAACTGGAGGTCTTTCAAGCCTTGGATAAACTCAGCACTGTGATACTCAGCTGGAGTTTGTAGTCTTCTCTGAAGGTTTTCTGAATTCCTACGGCTAAAGAGTGGTATCTTCTTGGAGCTGCTTGCCTGAAAATCAATCGGGTACATCCAGTTGGTGTGTCTTTTCAATTCTTGGGATAGTGAAAGGTACTGATGTTCTTGGGGCCATCTGTACTCTCAGAAAATTGGAAGAGGTAGATTTAAATTATACATTCCTTTAGGTGCAAAAATGAGTGCCTTTCAACAGGTCACGGGCTTTGGGGAGTCTTCTACCAACTGTTAGGAGATTTTGCTGTTTTGTACATACGTTCTTATCTAATTTCCCTATAACTAGGGACCTGCATACTTTAGACGGGCTCATGGTCTGATGGCGTGAGATGAGTTGAAGCCAGCTCTGTTAATATGACAGCTGAATCCTTTGATTTGCAGTTCCTTAAGTTCCATTCTTCAACTAGCAAATTGACGTACCTCAGATTAATTACAAACTTCCTGAAAATTAAACCGTGAAGTGATTTAAAAGTTATTTTGAGATGTGTCAAATATTGAAAAATGTTAGTTGATTATGTATTTCTTGAGATAGGGTGCTGCCTAAAAATATCAGTGAAATAGTTTGAGCATTATGCTAGTCTGCAAGGGAAACATAAATAATGAATTGTACATTTACCTGGCAGCATGATGTTTAAAAGAAGCCAAGATGAAAAAGAAAAAAATTGCATCTGTGGGTATCACAGAGAAACTACTGTACAGACCACCTGCCATTCGTGTGCTACATGTTCATCTATTTGGTGGAGATGCGCCCCTTTGTTCTAGAAAAATGCTGTGTTCTCTCTCTCTCACTCTCTCATGGGTTAAATTTAGCCTCCCCATCCCCAGCTTACAGTGTACTTTTAAATAACACAGGGCCTTATTGGAAGCAAGATAGCCTTTTAGCTAAATATTTTTTGAAGGTGGATGAGACGGTGATTGACTTGAGAGGTTGGTGGGAGGCTTAACAGGCATTCCTAGAATTACAGGCACGTTGATTTCATTTTACAAAGCAGTTTAAAATAGAAGACACAGAATTAGTCTGTCTGGGGCTTTAATATTGCCTGGCCATCCAGCTGTGATGAGGCCAGAGAAGTGGCCACCAGGGCATCCAGACCCTTCTTACGGATCTTTCACTGGGCCCCTCGAGTTAGAAAAGCTCTCTTTATCTCAGAATTGTCCGAGTCCTCAGATCCTTACATTGTGATATCCAGTTATGAAATTCAACTTTAATTGATTACTGCAGTTTTAAATGAATTGTCAGGAACTTGGAACTACTTTTATTAAGTGTCTCTACCATCTTCTGTTCAGGTTTGGATGGGCTCTCCCAGAATTAGGGCAGATTTTAACTGATCTAAAGATGATCATGAGGCTACTTCCAGAGACATCACAAAAGAAAACACAGAAAAATTAAGTAACGAGGTAGCCACATTAGCAGATAACCTATGCTTTCTGCAACTCGCATTTTGAACTTCTAGGTTTGTCCACCACTTGGCATGAACAGAGATAAGACCATTTCTTATTGTCTTTGAAGTAAATACTCTCAATAAAAGAAAACATGTATTTGCAGCAGGCAGGCCCTGGAAGTCAAGATTATCTGGGCATGTGTGAAGGGATTGTGTACCTACTGGGTGCTCAGTGGATTTTTAAATGAAGAGTAGTTACATGAGTAAGCCCTTCTGAAGACATTGATCCTACAGGAAGAGAGAATAAGAGGCTAGATAAATACTGAGAGGTTGGTGCCAGTCCATGGTCTGGGGTGGTGTGTGTGTGTGTGTGTGTGAGTGTGTGAGAGAGGGAGAGAGAGAGAGAGATACCCAGTAGTTATTGTTCTATGTCAGCCATATCAAAGTGTTCCAAAGCCCTAAGGCAAGAAGTTATAAGAATGAGTGAGAGTGGTCTCATGAAAGTATTGATGTGATTTAAGCACACATACTGCCAGCTACACTAGTGCCGGCAAACTAGTAGCTTCAGAGGGCAACTTCCTTAGCCAACAGCACCCTCAACACTGGGCATGGTTAGCTACTGGGACTTGGTGGCCCAGGAACATTGGTAGACATTAGCAGCAATATCATTGCTTCTGGGAGGGAGCAAATGGCAGACTTGGTGTAGCTTTATTGCCCACTCTCCTAGGGCCTGTTACCAGGATCAGTGACTCCAGTGGGCATAGACAGGAGCGATGGCAGCTTCTCTGGGCATCGGTGATTTTGACTTCATCACGTTACACTGGCATAGGCTGCCATTTTTGGTGTAAACAATTCTAGGAACTGGACCACGAAAGACGGCACAGTGGAGTCCATGTGAAATACTCCTGAGGAGGACAGGGATGGAGTTGCTACAGAACTGTGGTGACAGAAACAGTGTTGTCCTCTGCCTGTAACTGTGACCTTCTTTTTATCCCAGGTTAAAGCAACCTGAGAATGAGATTTGACCAGTTTGGGCCAGATAATCAGTTTAAATTTTGAGATTTTGAAAGCTTATCATGTAGAGGGAACCAGTGAATAATTAAGAAATGAGAATTGTAAAGCGTTCTTTTCCATTTTCTTTCCATTCTTCTTTCTATTCACATTAAAAAAGGTTTAAAATTTCCTTAATTTCAAGGTTTCTAACTTAACTTTGCACTAAAAGAAGCTTTTGTCAGAGTAAATGTTCTGTTTGCATTCTTTCTACAAACGTAAAAAGGATGGAAAGGAGAATGAGTTTTACTGAAGCCCCACAGGCCAGAACCAACTAGATAGATGCTTTAACAATACATCATGGCAGTTTCTCTGGAAAGTGAGCATCATTGTTTTCCATTCTGTCATTTTCTCCTCAGTGGCTCTGCTCCATATTGATCGTTAGAATCAAGCGTCATCTCCGAGTTTGGCAAACAGCTGCCCTAGCCTGGTTTAGGGCTAAAGCCTATTCTGGCAAAGAAGATGGATCTGCTCATTCCAGATGAGAAGGTTTGGATGGAAACGGTGTGGCTGTCTGCCAGAGATCTGAGTGAAGGCGGCAGTACACGTACGCTGCGAGCTGGACCCAGGAGTGCAGATGAAATCTGCACACTTGGAAGCCTGTGTGCTAAAGGAGCAAATGTGGAGCTCTCAAGCCAGCAAAATCCAATCATGGAACAATCACATAGTCTTGAATCTAGGTATGTTGCATCATATCCCCTGAAAATACTTACACATGGCAAAGGTCAGTTATATATCAGTTGTCTTAGCAGAGGAGAATTTGCCTAGTTCCTTCAAAATTCCCTGTCCATATATCATACTTAATGATAATGGAGATACTGATTTATTATTCCTACTAGAAATATTTTGGATAATATTGTGTTAGTTTCACCACTAAGTAGCCATTCTGATTCTACCAGCTTCTCACTTATTCATTTATTTAATAAACTTCCATGTGTCTAGCATTGGGTAATGACAGATAAAAATGGAGCAAGAAATGACATTCCCTGACTTGAGAAGACAAGATGTGCTTATGTAAAATCACTTACGGGTAATACACGGGTCGAATCAGTGTTAAGAGGTTTCAAAAGTTAAAGGCAATTCTGAAAAGAGAAAAATCACAGGAATGGGAAATAGTCAGGATAGAATACCTGAATGTTTTGCACATCGTGAGGAAAATATTTGATTTTGGCAGAGAAGAGAGAATTTGGCTTCGCAGGCTAATAGCAAAACTGCTAACGTTTGTAGAAAAAACATCTTGTATGACGGAAGGTAAAAGAAGAGGCAGTGGGAGCTTGGATGATGGTTGGAGTAACAGGAGAGAGACTGAGCATGAAGAGACCAGTTTAAAATCATTCTTGTTAAGGTTCTTGGAAGGAAACATTGGATAGGATGGGTGGATCCATCTGGTGGAGGTTCTTAAATGTCCGGCAAGAGCCTTTGGGGTATCATTCCTTTATGCATTTGTTTGTTTATTGATCAAATGTTCATGTGTAGGCACTGGACTAGACTTCGGAGATAACAGACCCGTTGCTTCCTCTAAGGGATTCGCATCAGGGAAAAGAGCCACATAAGCAGTCATCACAACATAATTAATCATGGTTCTAAAGAGGCCTGTAGGAAATTGCCTAGTAATGACGCAGAAGGATCCATTTTTGCCTGGAGTGGAGGCAGGACTGAAAAATCTTGGGAAAATATATGTTCTTAAGCAGATGGAACTGATGGAAAAAAATCTTAAGCAGATGAAACTGATGAAGCAGGCAGTAGAAGCTGTTGCAGAACACTCGAGACACAATGAGGGTGGAGTAAATGCTGTACCATAGATGGCAGTGACTGTCAGCAACCAAGGGGGACAGCAGAAAGACCTTAAAGGTGCACGGAACTTAGGTGTGCTATAGACCTAGGTTTGTTTTGGCTGCTGGAAGCACTTTGGAGCTTGCAGTTAGAAACTGCTGACGTTGTAAGGAGAAGTGAATTCCTGGCGTCCCTGCAAGTAGGAACACGCTGTGTGGGATGACTGCTGGACTGTCACCCGAGTTGCCGTTCATGGAGACAGCATTCTTGGTTATTTTCTCTGCTGGTCCTCCAATACCCCAGGCATTTTTTGTGCGTTTCCCTGAATCTGTGACTGTTTTACTCCCTTGCCCTTCCACCCCTTGAGTGCCCTTGTTCTTCTGGAGAAATCTTATTCATCTTTCAAATGTCTATTTTCTGACTCCAAGGAATTCCTCCCTCCTGTAGGTAAATGTCTCTACTTTGTATGTTGCTCAACTTTGGCTCTTACATCTTATTATATTTAGTCACTTACATGCGAATCTTCACTGTGGATTGTTTATTCCTCCAGGACAGGGCTTGTGTCTTATTTATAGCAAAAGCAGGATTGAGCCTAGTCTTGGCTTTGAATTGCTGCTTTACCACGTACTCGTTCTGAGACCTTAAGAAACATGGTTAATCTCTCTTTACCTATGTTCCCCATTGATAAAACAGGGCAAATAATATCTACCTAATAAGGTTACTAATTAAAAACTAATTAAGGTAATATATGTGAAACACCTATCAGAGTGATTTATTCATAAAAACAGAATAAACATTATTTTTTTTCCTTTTTCCTTTCTCGTTATTTGTATT